GGGTTCTTATTAACACTTCCTATGGGAGTGTCATTGATTGGACCCCTCATGGTTCTGCCTGAGCAAAGGGTCAAGGTTCAGACTTACAGTGATGTTCTGATGGTCATGGTAATATATCTACACATGTTAATGGCACCATCCAATGGCATGGGGGAGGCATGTCTGCAAGTGCTCCTCATCTAATCGGTGGTCACTTTCAGCCCCACCTATGGAAACTGATGAATGTATTAAACCCTATGTATGCTTGGAATGGGCATATATGGCAAAACATTACGACTAATCAAACTCAGTCACAATTTACAAGAAACTTGACGTGTTGGACACAGCTTGTGTCCGATTGCCATATCTTATAATGATTGGGCAGGTATTATGGAATTCTATTAACTATACTCTGACTTGTCATAATTGTTCTTTTTATACTTGTGTGAATTTCTCCACCCCCTTTAATAGTTCTTTACAGGACATTTATCTGCTGAAAGCGCGTTCTGGGATATGGATACCAGTCCAACTGTCCCGTCCTTGGCAAGATTCTCCAACCATGATGTTGTTTCATCAGTTGGTAGAATATCTGAAAAGAGGCAAAAGAATGATTGGCATGATTATTGCCCTTATCATGGGGCTTGTAGCTGTCACTGCCACGGTGGCAACAGCTGGAGTAGCCTTGCACCAAAGTGTGCAAACTGTACATTGTATACAACAGTGGCATACTAACTCTGAGCAGTTATGGACGTCTCAGAGGCGGATTGACTCAGAAATTAATGCCAGACCAGGAGATTTAGAACAAGCTGTAGTTATGTTAGGATATCAAATAGCTTACAACGTCAGATACATCTTAAATGTGATTGGAACACATCTACCTTTTGTGTCACTCCTATTCCTTGGAATCAAACACACTTTCCTTGGTCTGTAGTATGAAAGCATTTGTTATACCACTCACATAACATGACTGAAGAAATTGGGGAATTACAAAAACATATTTCTACTACTTTTCAAAATCAACTACAACTAGTTTCTGGGACTGATTTAATACAATGGATGCAGGAAGGTTTACAAAAATTAAATCCTCTTAATAGTCTTAAAGCAGTGGGAGGAGGTGTGGCTGGAATTTCCATTCGCTGTTGTGTTGCTTTTTGTCTCCTACACATGGTCTGGATTGGAGCTCGCTGATCACAAAACTTAATCACCAAAGGACAGCAGAAGGCAGCTGCCTTCTCTATCCTGCTTCATCAAATTCAGCAAAAACAAAAAGGGGGAAATGTAGGAAAAGGCCAGCAAACAACAAACAAACTCTGAAGGAGTTGGGTAGCAAGCTTCCCCAGAGTCGCAGAAATCCCCTTGAAAACGAGGGAGACATTTCTGCCAGGAACTGAAAACAGATCCTTATGATTCTTGGAAGCTTGCCCCCAGGACGGTTATGGCCTTAAGGAAAATGCTAAGCATATAGCTCAGAATAAAGCCACTTGTTCTTGCGCATTTTGTGGTTTCTACTGATCACTGTCTCTCACACCTGCTTTTCTGTAGCTCACAGTAAAAATCGCTGGATGGTGAGGAGGGTGGTTGCAGCTCCTGCAGAGTCTCAACCCTCTGCCTCGCCACCTAAATTCTACATTCTCGGTGTCTCAAGTTTCTTCCTGTCCCGCGAGCACAACAAGAGAGAGAGATAGAAACATCAATGATGAGAGAGTCGTCAGTGATCGGCTGCCTCCTGCACACCCCCACCTGGGGATCGAACCCACAACCCAGGCATGTGCCCTGACTAGGAATCGAACCTCGATCTCCTGGATCCTAGGTCAATGCTCAACCGCTGAGCCACGCTGGCTGGGCAAGCAGATGGCTTCTTGAGAGCAGTTCACTGACCCACTATCCAGGAAAACAATTATAGAGAACTGAAAGAACTGATGAGTGAAATGTAATCATGGTTACTTGTCTGGAATATTGTTTTGCAGTTGTAATGTTCTATTTTTATGGATATGTGAGGAAGCCCTTTTTAATTCTTAGGCTATCTCTAGCCTTCCATTTGGTGGACTCTGCTTTTGGAAACTGGAGTTTTAAAATGGTATCTGATTCTCACTGAGTCTTCAGAATTCAGAAACAGTTACTGGATCTCTTTACATTTCATGGCAATATTCAAAAGGAATCTCTACTCCTGTTTACCAGGATATAATTGAAGAATTTGTGTAACCAAGAAATTGTGTAATTTTCAATTATTTGAAAATAATTCTCATTTAATCAGCTATGACTAGCCCACTATTAATAAACAAACTGACTTTACATGTCGAGTCAATGCCTAGAAAGCTATCCCAATAAAACTGAAATGGTACCTGGCTTACAGGGTTCCAGTTTTACAGGGCCCTTCTTAGCAAACCAAGAACCTTAGTAAACTTTGGAGAAGCTGAGGAGGGAAATTCACCCGTATTCGTAGGAACTACTGGAGAAATCTGGTGGAGAGTTTCTTGCACTTGGTTCTCTAGCCTTTAGACAGCAAATTATGAAGGCTTTAAAAGTCCAATTTGAGTATCTTTATGAAAACTTTCAGACAGGTTAATCCTGTTGCTGGATTTGCAGAGTTAATGCAAGGCCTAGACACTTTGCTGTGTCTAGGTCAATAGTTGGGCCAAACCTATCTTTGTGTAATCAGGAGTAATCTTGGCAGAATACTTATAATCACAAGGCAGAAACGGTCAAGAAACATTGTCAAAGACTTGGAAATGGATAAAAGAAATGACTGAGTATCCTTTCAGTGAAGTGCTAGGTGTTGTCTTGTGGATCCTCTGGATATTTTCTGAAGGGTATGTACCTGTGATTGTCTTCTTACTGGCTAGGCTGTTATACAACTCTGTAAAGTTAGAAGTTAAACTGTAGAAAATGGAGAGTAATGCAAATAAACCATGAACTAGAACTGATTTTTGCTCTGTAGAAAAGATGACTCCTTTAGATTTTATTGCCCTATAGGTTATGAGCCAGTCATATCTATTAGCAAGTTATTTTAAGCATTTCTAACTGCTTATATGTCTGGTTTTCAAATTCTCCCTTTTAGCAGTTCTAGCATCTTATTTCCTCATTCATTGAATTCAATTAAATGTTTAACATGTGTTTAAACAACAACAAAAACACTGTTGCCTGTAGAATTTAACTGTTAATCTCCAAAGGCCTTTTGTACTATTTGTTAATGGATAATGGATTCGAATCTGAGAGCCATATAAACAGCCATTTCTTTTTTAATTCAGAGGAGTCTTGGAATAATCTCCTCTCCCTTTATGCAAATCTATTCTGGTAGATTCCTTAAACATTCATTAACTTGTCATAAACTTACCAAATCTTATAAAATGATACCTGTTCCAGGAACCACCAATTCACAGATAAATGCAACTAACAATCATGTTTATAATTTATGACTCTACCTACCCTTCTGGCTTTAATAGCCCTTGAAAGTCAGTTGATAAGTGGTGGCAAATCTCATATGTAAATATTAGATCTTAGTCTATCATGGGATCAAAGAAGCAGAGAAAGCTAGGCTACAGAACAAGAGAAAAAGAAACATGACAGTGAGAAGTAGAGTTTCGAGGTAGAAAAAGAGTATTTCACGGATTGTGAAACCCTATTTAGGTTCTAATCCCTTACTAAAATTGACTCCACCCCTGCCCTTCAGATCCGTGAGACACTTCAATACACAGTTCACCCTTGAACAACCTGGGTTTAAACAGCACTGGTCGCCTTATATGTGAATTGTTTTCAATAAATACATATAGTACTACACATGTATCTTCTTTATGATTTTCTTAATAAGTTTCTTTTCTCTAGCATACTCTATTGTAAGGAGACAGCATATAATTTATGTAATATACAAAATATGTGTTAATGGGCTGTTTATGTTCTTAGTAAGGCATCTAGTCAACAGTAGGCTATTAGTAATTAAGTTTTGGAGGAGTCGAAAGTTATTAGTGATTTTCAACTGCACAGGGGTGGAGATTGCTGGAGTTTCACTGCCCCTAACTCACGAGTTGTTCAAGGGTCAACTGACTTTAAATACATTTGTTCCCTTTTTAACTTAAAGTAGCTTAAGTTCATTTGTGTTACTTATGCTTCAGGGGCTTCCGGGTTGGTGAACACATTGAAGGCTGGGAGGGTGGTACACTGGGAGAAGGTATGAGAGGTCTCTGTGTCCTCCCACACCTTGCCCTATGCATCTCTCCCACTTGGCTCTTCCTCAGTTATATCCTTTGTAATAAATCAGTATATGTGAGTGAGGTGTTTTCCTGAGTTCTGTGAGCCATTCAAACAAATCATCAAATCTGAGGGCAGGGTTTGGGGAATACCCGAATTTGCAGCAAAACTGGACAGAAGTGTGTGTAGCCTGGGGAACCAGGACTTGGAACTAATGTCTGAAATGAGGGTAGTCTTGTGCGACTGAGCCCTTAAACCTGTGGAGTCTGATGCTATTTTGAATTAGTGTCAGAATAGGATTGAACTGTAGAGTTGGTGTCAGAATTACAAAATCAGAAGTAATGTCAGAGACACCATTTAGTATAACATATTTTAGCAGTATTTGATGTTTAGAATTACAAAGAAATTCACAAATGTTGTTTCTTTTATATGTTTATTATTTTATATTTGTATTTCCTGAGGTATCTCATAATATAATCTCATGAAAAATAGGCAGGTAACTATGCAATTGAAAATCAAAACATGGCTTTTTCTTTCCATCACAGTATATAAAGTAGGTATCACTATTACATGAAGTAATAAAACTTCCTGGAAAGAATACAGATACACTGCCCTGGCTGGTGTGGCTCAGTTGGTTGGTACATTGTTCTGTACACTGAAAGGTGGTGGGTTCAATTCCCAGTCAGGGCACATACCCAGGTTGTGGGTTCAGTCTCTGGTCAGGACATGTATGGAAGGCAACCAACTGATGTTTCTCTCTCTCTCTCCTCCCCAACGAAAAACATGTCCTCACGTGAGGCTTAAAAAAAAATAATAATAAAATATATATATATATATGCTAATAAGTATTGAATAATTTTATTTACGTTTCTTTTCAGAAAGTATGCACATGAAATGAGATTGTGTACAATAAACCAAAAGCTACCCAGAGATCAATGGAGTCATATAAAAATAATTTAAGGCAAATTTTATAGATTTATTTTAAATAAGGCAAGTGAAATGTGGGCTCAGAATTAACTTCTGGTTGTTGTATAATGGGAGAATATGAACATCAATTTTTTTACAATTACTGTACAAAATTGAAAACAAATGCTTTCCAAATTACAACAAAATGAACTCCTCTAGCACAGCATCATTAAGTCTACAAAATCACTGGCAAGTTATTTGATGGCATCCAAATCTGACAAAATTTCCTCAATGTAAATTTTAGAACATCCTAAATACTTTTATAAACCCACTTTTCTGTCATTGGAAAAACATTAAAATTCCAAGGAATTTGTTACTTTAAGAAGTCAAAATAACAAAACAAATGTATTTTTCAAGGTTAATATAGTTCAAGTACAGTGGTACTGAGGACAACACATAATTTTAATGGAACCAAATCTATTTGAGGAAAGGCAAGTCATAAAATCAAACAAACGTAAAACTACTATTAGAATCAGTTGCATATGTTTAGTTAACAGTACTTATTTTAAGATTTTCACTGGGAAAAGTCGTAAAGCCCTTTCTCTTTTTTGTAGCTTAAATACTGGATTATGTTCTATTTGCTCAACAATTAATCACGTTTCTACAGCAATCTTGTTAATTTTTAAACTTGCCAATGTGTTCACGAGCTATAATAAGCCTTTGAATTTGTGCTGTACCTTCATAAATCTGCAAGAAAAAAAATATAGGTTAAATATCTTCAGTACACAAATAACTTCAATTTACTCAATAATTTGGAAAGTAGTGTAAGCTCTATTTCAATACCCAACTGAGTCAAACCACATACAGGGTCTATAGTGATTCCAAAACCTGATTTTGTGAAACCCATGAAAATGTATAATTCTGTAAAGATTAGTTAAAATTATTATAGAAAGTGATTTACCAAAACTTTGGAATTGTCTTAAAAAATCAAATATTAACATTTCAAAAAGTTTGGGAAATCTAAAGTTTGATGTTGCTAAAATATTTCTCCAACTTTTCTGAACTGTTTTTAGCTAGTTGTCACCTTGAGTCATTTTCTATTTCTACTGTTAAATCTGACATTTTCTCTTGCGGCCTAAGGAACAGAGTTGCTAAAGAAAATGATGCTGGAAGGATTTGGTTTTGTTCACTTCCTAGTAGCCAACCCTCACTTCCAGTTTGAACATTTAATCCTGGTAACTTGTTATTTTACCTTCTCAGATGGCAGAGAAAAGTTAAATGGTTGATAATAGTAATAATCATAATAATTATAGGCTACAGGAGAGGAAGAGTATCACCAGATAAACCTATAACTTTGGATAAGGTACACATTCTGGTCCTCAGTTTTTTCAAGTCTAAATTGAGAGGCTGTTCTGTGTCTAAATTTTCTTCTCACTCATCTAAGATTCTATCTCTAGATTTCAGATGACTAGATTTCTCAAATAATTTCCTGGGGTGGAGGGAAGCAAGAGAGGAGATACCGAGGAGCATGGGCTATAATTACTTAAGGTACATGTGGAGAACATGTACATTTATATCTAATTTACTAAATTATTCCTTTAATTTAGAAAACAGAATCATCTATATCTGTCTCTTCATGTTTGCTTTTTGCTCCTAATTATCGTTTCAATAAAGTCAATAGTTGTCAGGCAAGATTCAAAATAAAATAATTAATTTTAAGTGATGTGCAAAGTTTTAGGAGATTAAAGGGTGAGTTATGATTAGTTAGGATGTCAAGACTCAAAGAAGGCTGATCTAGATCCACATACATGTATATACCATTTACTTTTTTAACCTATTCTCTCTTAAGGCATATACTTAAAGGTAACACTCTTATTTGTGTTAGTTAGTTCTAAAAACTTCAGCTTACAACCATCTACAATGTCATTTACTATTACTAGTGGCATAAAATCCCTAAATGGTCAAAATCTACTGTCATCTACAAACACTCTGTTTCCTAACAACAAAAATTATTTTTAATCTTACCTGATAGATCTTGGCATCCCTCATTAGTTTTTCTACAGGATATTCTGTATTAAATCCATTGCCTCCAAAAATCTGCACAGCATCAGAAGCTAACTGATTTGCAATATCTCCAGCAAATGCCTTTGCAACAGATGCATAAAAGGTATTTCGACGACCAGCATCAACCTCCCAAGCGGCTCGCTGGTAAGCTAATCTAGCTAGTTCAACTTTCATTGCCATTTCGGCCAGCAAAAATGATACTCCTTGGTGCTAGAATTAAAAAGAAAATGTTTAAGAATATCTGTTCACCAAAAGTTTTTCTCCTATAATTTTTAAAAACTTTTAAAACTAATCTTAGGCTTAAAAAGTTACACCCTGCTTCCTTCAGTGTTAACATATTACAAAACCACAGTATACTTATCAAGAATAGGACATTAACATTGGGACAATATTATCAACTTAACTATAAATTTTGTTCAAATTTGTCCTTTTTCTTTTCAAGGATCCCAAATATAATTCCAATTGAATTTAGTCGTCTTAGTCTTTCCCACTTTGTTACAATTCCTTAGTTTTCCCTTGTCTTTCATGAACTTGACACTTTTGAAGGATACTGATTGGTTATTTTTTGTAGAACATTCCTTAATTTGGGTTTGCCTGATATTTTCTTAGCACTGGAGAGAAGTTATGGATTTTTGGCAAAAATACCACAAAAATGGTATGTATCCTTCTGAGTGTCAGCTGGGAATTTTAAAGAAAGTTGCTACATACAGTGAATAACAATGCACAGCAGACACTGACAGGGGAAAGTGAGTGTCATGACAAGGACAAATAAAAGATGTCTTTTGTTTTTCTAGAGTTCCATAATCAAAAAGGAGACATAAGATGGGTACTTTGAATAAGAGATAGTAAGTGTTCCATGAGTTGTATGGCCAAGATATGTTATAAGACAGAAACACGTCACCATATATTGATAAGGGAAAAATTCAAATATACAGTATAGTTACAGATTTGGAAAAATATATTTGTGAAAAAGAGAATATAGAGCAAAATTTCCACTGTAATCATCTCTGGACAATGGGATTATAGATGAGTTTTATTACTTAATTTTATATTGTATCATATAAATTATTCTTTAATAAACATGGAATGGGACACATGCTTTAAAATAATATACATTAAAAGTAATTCTATAGGCATTCAGAACAAGATACTAAGATGGTTAGAAAGGTGCTTCATGTAGTAGGCAACGTCAAAGTGGGTTTTGAAGACCAAAAGGTTATAAAAACCACACAATCTATGACTGTGTATGGACTAATATAAACCAAACATCACAAAAAAATAAAACACTGAGCTGTTTAATTTCAATATATTTACTATATTTAGAGCATAAACCGTCACATTACTTGAGAATGTGACAAGCTGCTCTGTACTGGCATGGTAATTAAATCTTAGAGGAGACATTATTAGCCAATGTGAGTAAATCCTGTGTGGAGAAGTAATATCCTCCCTTATTTCTACCTGCCTGAATTTTGCCCATACTTCTAAGCCAGTGATTTTTTAAAGTTTTGTTTGTTTTAGTTTTCACTGTTTGTTTGTTTTTTAATAGTGAAAGAGAGTTTATTAGTGAAGCAGTGAGACAGAATGGGCTACTTCACAGACAGAGCAGCGGTTTTCAGTCTGTCTGTTGAATAGGTCAGACATCAACCAGACCAAACTCCAAGTTTTCCTCTCACTTCTCTCTATCATCTGCCCCCTCCCCCTTCCCATTTAATTCCCCTTCCTGAGGTAACCAGGTAGAAATTTGTTTTCTGTCCAGCTGAGATATTATATACATACATATAAGCAAATACATCTGTAGTCTCTGCTTTTTACACATATGCTAGTCTACCATGTTGGTGGTTCTTCATTTTGCTTTTCTTATCAATAAACCTGAGTGTTTTCTACATCAATAAATAAAATACTTATTTCACTTTTTTTATAGCTGCAAAGTTTTCCACTGCATGGGTTGGTTGTTTCTATATTTGGTGTATATCTTAAATACACAATGCTGAAATGAATAACCTATGCGTATGTTGTGTTGCACATATGGGAGTATATCTGAAAGGAAGTACCGTATGAAATGTAGTTGTAGAATAACCACTGCACTATGGGCCCAAAGGAAGGTACTTTGGATATATATTACCAAAATGTGGTTCATAAAAGTTACACCAATTTATATTCCCATTGGCAAGATATATTAGAGCTTATTTCACCACAGCCTTGACAACCTGGTATAAGATGCCCATGCTCTCTTGAGAGATTGATTTAAAAATGTGGGGTGGTCAAAAGGTGGTAGGTTTGATTCCCAGTGGGGACACATGTCCAGGTTGTGGGTTCAATCCCTAGTCAAGGCACATACCTGGGTTGCAGGTTCAATCCTCAGGGCGTGTGGGGGAGGCAACAAGTCAATGTATCTCTCTTACATTTATTGAGCTCTCCCTCTCCCTCTCTCTCCCTCCCTCCCTTCCACTCTCTGGAAAAAATACCCTCAAGTGAGGATTAACCAAAAATAAAAAGATGAGGGGCTAAAATTGAGATTCCCTACATACAAAGGAAAAGCACTTGGGAAAACAGCTTCTTTCTACAGGGGGAACTAAAAGTCTCTGCTCAAGAGGGCAGGAAGCTTAGCTCTTGCCCAGGACTGTCTGGAAGGATCAGAACCAGGAATGAATCTCTTCAAGTGTGGAATCAATGTGTACAGGATTCCCTAAGTGGAGAAATTAACGCAAAAAAACAGTTCTTGAAATGGTGAAATCTCTGGGGTACCTGATAAAAGCACAAAGTATAAAAGTCAGTCTTTAGGTGCTACCACAGTGCACTGAAGAAAAATAATACCTACAGCAGACAAACTTAATAGCAAAAATTAAGAGAGAAAAATAACTGGCCATAACAGAGATAGGAGATGCCATAGACCAAACGATTAACACCCTAAGAACTTAACAGAAAAAAGTCTGAAAGTGACTATAAAGGAAGTATTTTTATTTAATTAAGGAGAAAGAAAGAGAAACAGAAGCTATGTTGAAAAACCAGAACACCATAAAAGAAGAAGAGGTGGAACAGAAAAAGAACTGAATATACATTCTATAAATTAAAAAAAGGAATAAAAAAATTCAGCAGGATTAAGTAGCAGATTAGGCACAGGACGCAAGGAAAACTGTTACTGGTTCGTGACATAGAAAGTGAGAGTAAACATTTAGAAAGTTTCATAACAATATGATGGTGTTGTGACATTCTTATATATACAATAATAATGGTCCATAATTTCTTTGAAATTAAAAACAAACTGATCTTTCACCACAGATGGTTTGAGAACCACTGACACATGAGGACAGAAATAGTACTTGAAGAGGTAAGAGTTAAAAATTTCCCTGTAAGTTCATGGAAGACATGACTCTTTAGTACTAAAATTATTTGATACTCAAAAATACATGGAAAGTAACATGGATTAAGAGCATGAAATGGAGTACTGGATCTGTGATGCATAAATTGTGTGACCTTGGACAAATTATTTAATCTGTCTCAGTCTCAGATTCCAAATCTTAAATGGAGATTATAGTACTACCAAAACAAGGGTAGTAGCGGGAGAATTAGGAAATATACTTAAAATGTGTAGCACAGTGTCAGATATACAACAGGCACTCATTAAATACTGGCTTGTTTTTCCCCCCTCTTCTTAATTAACACAATTCCCTGAGTGGACAATAGTTAGTGGGAGAGTCTACAGAAAATCTATTCTTGAAACTCATCCTGATAGGTCGCATTATCTTCTTGCTACCAAAACAGAAATAGTTTGTACTTAAAAGACAATTTTCAAATATTTAAATGAAAATGAATGTATTTACATTTGAACAAAGCAAATACAATATTAAAATTACCTCTACGAGCAGCTTTCCAAAAGTTTTCCTCTCCAGGGCATACTTGGTAGCTTCATCCAAAGCCCTTTGTGCTAGTCCCACAGCACCAGCGGCTACCTAGTGTAATAGTTTACAAAGCAAAAGTTCATGCTGTCTTTAAAACACATGGTATAATAGCTATTTGCCTAAGATCCTAAATTAAGGATTATACAGAGAGATAAACTACAGTTTAAGGCAACAAGGGACTGGGGGGAGAGGGGTGGATACCAGGATTTAAATTTAAATTATTTGTGAATTTAAGCTTAATGGAAGGCACAGGATCATAGAAAGAGAAAACTAATTCCTTCAGTTTAACAAACGAAAGCTTCTTAGGGAAAATATTCCTAATGAGTAAAGCAAGATGAAATGAGCACATATTAGCAGGAATGATTAAACTGAGAAATGTCTCTGTAAATCTAGCAGCAACTATAGTAATTTTGTATTTACTAAAATAATTTCTGTAAAAGGCAGCAAGAGAGTTGAAGAATTCTAAATAATAAAGAAAAATATATCTCCATCCTTAATAAAAGAAGCAGATATTAAAAACGAAATAGCCCAGCTGGCGTGGCTCAGTGGTTGAGCGTGAACCCATGAACTAGGAGGTCATGGTTTGATTCCTGGTCAGGGCACATGCCCGGGGTTTTGGGCTCGATCCCCAGGAGGGGACGTGCAGGAAGCAGCTGATCAATGACTCTCTCTCATCATTGATGCTTCTATCTCTCTCTCTCCCTCTCCCTTCCTCTCTCTGAAATCAATAGACTTTTTTTTTTTTTAAAAAAAAGGAAAAGAAATACAAGCCAAGCATACAATGTGAAAATAAAACTATTCAATGTAATAAATAAAAGGTCCTATGAAGATGATCAAGTCATATTACTTACTGGAGGTCTGGTTTTATCAAAAGCTCCCATTGCAATTTTGAAACCAGCTCCCTCACCAATTAAAACATTTTCTTTAGGCACTTTCACATCTTCAAAGACAATTCCTCTTGTATCTGAACACCGCTGACCCATATTTAATTCCTAGCAGGAAAAACAATATATATAAAGGAAAATTTTTCAAGCTAGCATGAATTTTGCTTTAACCACCTTTTTATGACTTTCTGCAATTGTCTAAAACAACAGTTAACGACCTATGGCTTGCAATGCCTATTTTGTAAAGAAAGCTTTATTGGAATATAATCACAACTATTCCTTTACATATTATATATGGCTACTTTCTTGCTACAATGGCAGAATTGAGTAGTTGTGACAGAGAACACAGAGCCTTCAAAATCTAAATTATTTACAATAGGGACCATTACAAAAAAAAAGTGTCAACTCCTAGTTTAAAACAATGTTTCACAAACTTTGAAACCAACACAAGTCTAAAGGACTACGTGTATATAATAACTATAAAGCATTTAGCAAACTGATTTGGGCAATTTTAGCTTAGCTAATACAGCTAGCAAAGTAATATACTGGGTAAAAGTTGAATTTCCGTTTTCTGTCAACTGTTTCTTAAAATTTGGTTAATTGGGGTAGAATTTACATATAGAAAAATTCACCCTATTTGCATATACATTTCTAATAGTTCTGACAAATGTTTATGTGTAACCACCACCACTATCAAAATACAGAATATTGCAGCACCCCCAAAAATTCTCTTGTACGCCTTTTTAATCAATTACCTTACTCTATTCCCTGCTCGAGGCAGCCACTGATCTGAGTTCTGTCTATATAGTTTTCCTCTTCCAGGATGTCATGTAAGTGGAATAACAAGGTCAGCCTTCTGTGTCAGACTTTCCACTTTTCATAGTGCTTTTGAGATTCACTCATGTTGCTGCTGGTCAGTAATTCATTTCTTTGACTGCTGAGTAATATTCCACTATTTGGATGTATCAGATATCCATCACCCATTCACTAGCTGATGGACAACCCCTCCCCCTAGTTTTTATCAATTATAAATTAAGCTGCTCTAAGCATTCATGTATAGGTCTTTGTTTTCATTTCTCCTGGATAAATACCTAGGGAATGCTGGGCATGTGGTAAGTGCACATTTACATTTATAAACGCCAAAGTAGCTACATTCCCTCAACTTTTTGTCTTGAAAATATCCAAACCAACAGAAAAGTTGTACTAGTATAATGAATACCTATATACCCTTTACCTAGATTCACCAATTGTTAACATTTTGCCACATTTGCTTTATTTGTACTGAGTGTGTGTACATTTGTACTGAGTGTGTGTGTATAATTATTAGCAGTCTTTGAATTATTTTAAAAGTTGCAGATATCATGACCCTTCTCCTTAAGGAAAAAATAATAATCTTGTTTTTAATAAGCAGCATGAGAAGTATGGGCCATGGGAACATACAGCTGTAAATAAATTCTTTAATTTGCTTGCTTTAATATTAATAGTCTGCTTCCAGGCTTGAAGAAATGGTGACAATATATAGTTTGACAGAAAAATAAAACAATATCTCTTTATCGATAAACTCTAGTACCTTAGACCTTCACCCAGGTATAATGAGAAAACCGTTTGTGAAAACACTGTTTACTCTATCCTGTTTCCCAGAATCACCCCAAACACCAGAATATTTAAAACCAAAAAGCTTTCTAGACTCTCAAGCCATATAATTTCTAAAACACAAAACATTTTGAAAATCATCAATTTTCCCAAATTTGCAAATGCCCAATATTTCAAAAAAAGATTTAAAGGAAGTTTAATTACATATAATAAAACTACGTCTTTCTCACTAGAAAAGAAGCTCCCCAAGTCCAGGGATTTATGTCTGTTTTGATCCATGTAGTCTCCCCTGTACCTAGAATAATAGGGCCTAGCAAATAGTATCAACTCAATAATAAATATTTATTAAATTAGATATTTAAAAAAAGAAAAGAAAATGAGACTAGACTATAGCAACATAAAATTAGACGTGGGTTTACTATTTAAAAAAATATAAGCTGTTTGGTCCTTTACACTTTCTAGAGATGGCCCTGAATTCTCTAGCAACCATCCCTAAAAAGGACATGTGGATAAAACCTAAATAAAAACAAACCAATTGCTTGGAAGAAGCACAGTCATTCTTAGTACTTATATTTTGTAATATACAACAATCTCATTATACCTTTATATGTAAAGTGCTGTCTATCTTTAATATCTACTCTTAGGAGAACATACAGAATACAGTGTCAGAAACTACATTGGACAAGTTCCTAGGATACCTTAGTACTGATCTCAACTCTGCCTTTAAGTATGTAACCCTCAGTAAGTCACTTCACTTGAATCTCAGTTTCAATATTCAGTAAACAGACTGAAATAAAAAATGTACAGATTAACTTCCACCTTTAATATTCTATGACCTATAAGAGAAGTTTTCCCTCTCAAAAAATCTAGCAACATGGTTCCATCTTAAAGAGCTTGGGTACAACAGAGATTCTTCTGATGGCTTTTAAAACAGGATTATACAATTAAACAGTATATTACTGGTTTAGAAGTTTGTGTAGCTCAGTCAGTTCAAATTAACCTTTCCAGTTCAGGTAATACCACTCTTAGTCTAGTATCTGACCAGATAATCTGTGCCTTTCCCCACTTGGGAGGAAGAAAATATATTTGTGTAGCTTTAGTAACTCTTAATTAAATTCCATAATTCCTCCTTTACCTTGGATAGAGATGTAATTTGGTCATTAATAGTTTTCTTTTTTACAAATTCACTTTGCAAAAAGTTTTTTACAGTTGTAAAGTTGTCTCCTCTTCCTGATCTCAGAGTTATAACCTCAAATTGTGCTTCCTTAGCTCTCACTAGGACTACTTGAATGACTTCCTTTCCTTCTTTGATTTGTTAAATTCAAACTCTTTTCTTTTTAGGCCACTTAAAATGTTACTGCTAAATTATCTGCACATTCAGATTACAACACTTTTCAAATATGTTCAACTACCTTATTTAAATAAAAATTTTCTTGCCTTCCCACATTCAAGGCTCTTTGCTATTTCCACACTTTTCTCAGGCACAGATTTTTATCTTAGTGTTGTATGGCCTTGAGTAATCAACTTATGTCACATTGTTTTAATCCATAAAATGGGCATAATATCACTTATCCTATGAGAAAGGTTGCTGTAAGGAAGGAAAAAGAGTGGGAAAGTGTTTTGAGATATCTAAAATTCCATTATTGGGTAGGACCTATAAATAATAGCTTGATTTCTGCTTCATTATCCCTCACAACTGTTAGTATTCTCCACAGACTGGCACCATGAATGGCCACTCCTCCAAATAATGACTTGAAATGATTATTTTCACCTTAAAATCTCCAGCAATTTATAGATTGCTTCACCTGATAACATCAAAACACAGCTTTATTTTTATACCAACTTAATAAAAATATAATGTTTTCATTAACAAAACTAAAATGGTAATTTTGAAATTTATGGTTAAAATGATATTTGAGGCCTTAACCACGGATATACACTTTACCTTTCTTCCAATCTGTATCCCTGGGGTGTCTGCTTCCACAATAAATCCAGTAAAGCCTTTACTAGCAGGAACCTTAGGATCCGGATTAGAACGAGCCAATAAAAAGTACCTGATATATACATACATGATAATAAAGATGATATTAGCAGGTAATCCATGGTGACTGCTATCTCAGTTAAACCTCCCAACAATTCCACTTTTATTATCCCCCTTTTCCAGATGAGGAAAGGAGAAAGGAGATTCTTAATCTACAGTAATTAAGAAGCAATATACAGAGATGCTTTAAACAACATACCAATTAGCTTTTCCTCCATTGGTTATCCACATCTTCTGACCGTTAATAATATATTCATCTCCTTTCTTTTCTGCTTTGGTCTTTATACCGGCTACATCAGAGCCTGCTCCAGGTTCTGTTACACAGTAGGCCTGGAATATATGCAAACAAGAGAAAAACTAAATGCTAATTATTAATAAAGTTATGAACATAGAATCAGGAGTGTATTTTATTTTTTAAGCCAGTATTTTAAATATTTTAAAATACCTAAAAGAAAATGTTCTTGTAGAATCAAATAAACTGCTCAAACGTAAAAGTATTTAATATATGATTTGAACTTAATGTAGGATACCAGTAAACCATACCAAAAATTAAAACGTTAGATATCTTCAACCAAGTTAAATTCAATTTCACATGTACTTGCTTATTCAAGCATTTAATGAGTAGTATCTACTATGTAAACCAGGTTACAAACTAGATGGAAAAACCAGAGATGAAAGACATCCTGTCTTCAAGATTGTCACAATGTAAGAGTGGGGATGAATGCTGTATTTAATTATATATCTATTAAAGTCATACACAGCAGGCTTGAGAAACTAGCTTAGCTTTAGCGTGTCAGGAAAAGCTTCCCAGAGGTGATGCTTAAATTAAGTCTCATGAAGAAAAAGGAATTATTTCCAGGTAGGGAAAAGGAGAAATGTATATTCCCAGCAGAAGTAGTAACATATGCAATGATACTGAGATAAATAGCAGGGATACCCAGTGTTTGGAATACCAAAGTGCCAGGGAATGGTAGGAAGTGAGTCTGGAAAGAAAGGAGGGAAACAGATGACAAAGAACCCTTTATATCACACAAAGAAGTTAACATTTTATCTGGTAGAAAGAAGGGAGCCTCTTAAGGCTCTTAAACAGAGGAGTGACAAGGTGTAAGCAATAATGGATAAAGGGGGTAAAGGAAGGCAAGCACTGGGTAGCTGAAGATCATTCAAGTTTACTGAGCGACAGGTACGGTGGATACAAGGCCCAAAGACACAAGTCCCTTGCCCTTAAGACACTTACAATCCAAAGCAGAGAGAAATCTTAGCAGTTAATTTTAATTCAGAAGTAACAGGGACATAAGAAATGATTCTTTAAACATGGAGGATAGGAGGTGATGGGTAAGGAGGGTGAAAAGAAGAGTAATAAGGAAGGCAAGAATATTGAAGGCACAGGGGAAACGACTCATAGTTCAGTATTGGAAAATAAAGTATGAAACTGAAAGCCGTGAAAAGAGGCTGAAAAGGCAGAAAGAGATCTGCTCATGGAGGCTGAGGTGCATGTCATACTAAGGAGAGCAGTTTTCCACATTCAACAAAAGTTTATTGAACACCTGTTATTATGCCGTGGAGCCTTGAGGAATCAAGTACATGGGTTTCAGGGGAATCACGAATGATCTACTGTGGAAAATTGAGGAGTATATGCACTTTTCTGAAAATGTCAGCTTCTAAAATGGGTTCACAAACTGAAAAAGGTACAACTGCCACTGATGAAATGGAACCAGAGAGTGTTTTTGTAAATGCAGGAGAGTGATAGACTTACATTTTATTTATTTATTTTTAGATAGTTTATCATTACAAAAGTATGAAGGACAGATTTAAGGTGGTATAATGACAACTTCTCACTGTCTCTCAGGGGCTGTTCTAAGTACTTGACTCATTTAAACTTCACAATAATCCCTATGGCATAGGTACTAGGTATGTGCATTTACAGATAAGGAAACTGAGGCACAGTGAGGTTAAATAATTTGCCCACATTCACAGAAGTAGTGAGTGGCAGAAGTACTTACACAAGACTGGACTTAGGGACACAGATTAGGAGGCCTTGCAATTGTACAGGTAAGAAAGAAGCAAGACAGGGAAGAGAAGACGGAGTTGAGAACTGTGGTGTGAAATTCATGGACACGATGACTGAACAGGATGTTGGGGAGCTATAGATGTTATGGTGACTCTCAATTTTCTAGTTTAGGTAACTTCAAATTAGAGATAATCTAGAAGAAAAGCAGTTCTAAAGAGTACAAACAAGATAATTTGGTTTGGGACACATGTAGTTTAAGGTATTTAAGTCTAGCCAAGAAGAAATGTCTAATAAACAAGTGCACATAGGAAGGTAAAGCTGAGGGGAGAAGTCAGTGCTGAAACTAGAGTTAAGAGGCTACTTAATGAATATACAAAAAGTTAACAACAGATGGGGAAACTGATTTGGTAATTTAAGTGAAGAGAAAGCTTTAAATAAATCAACAGTGCTAATGCTATAAGCTATATTTATAATAATATCTAAAGTAAGAGTGATGGAACCATTCCACGCTGCACTCATCACGCCATGCTGGAGTACTGTATTTATCTCCAGAATATTTTAGAGTCAGAGATTAGTAAGTAGGTGATGGGACTCTACTGTGTTGTATGAAGATGAAAAAATTTTGATAAAAATAGCTTAGAAAAGATAAGACCCATATGATGGCTTTATTCAAATATCCAAAATGCTATATAGCAAAGGGAGAGAATTTGAATTGATAGGAGAAAATGACAGTGAAATCATACAAACTTTTACTTAATACCTATTATGGTGTGAGGTGGTGAGATTATTTTTTTATTAAAAATTTTTAATGTTGACATTATTGCAGATGTCCTCCAGCTACTCTACAGACATTTTGTCTCCCTCAAGGTGGTAAGATTATAAATAGAAATGGCACAGTTCTTTCCTTCAGGAGCACTGGACTCTAAAAGAGCTTTCTAATGATGAGATAGGCTCCCAAATGGAGTTCAGGAGGTTGTGATTCCCAGGCATGAAAACATAAGCTAGATGGCCTTCTGAGAGGGTGCTATAGAAGGGATTCAGGCGTCACATGAGTTCAGTAAATTACTCTCCTACCCAGGGATTCAAAGATGTTTTTAGCATCATAACAACAACAAAAATGTATTACACAAATGAACTGTCCAAAAAAGTTAATGCTTCAAAGTGCCACAATTTTATTTTAACCACCTTTGGGAATTTTGTTTTCCTGAAATATGGTATTAGATGTTTCTCTGCTTTATAAGGCAAAGCTTTTAGAGCTTATAAAGTGTATGGGTCTGCCCGGCCGGGCGTGGCTCAGTGGTTAAGCGTCGACCTAGGATCCAGGCGATCCGGGTTCGAGTTCCGGTCAGGGCACATGCCCGGGTTGTGGGCTGCAGCTTATCAATGATTCTCTCATCATTGATGTTTCTATCTCTCTCTCTCCCTCTCCTTTCCTCTCTCTGAAATCAATAAAGATATATTTAAAAAATAAAATAAAAAAAGTGTATGGGTCTGCATGTTTCCTTATGAAATGGCTTGTCATGGCTGTTTCTTCAGAGATGTCCTTATTTGATTCATTCCTAGTAATTAAAATTAATTTATAATGCACTTTCAGCAGAAGCCTTCTTTCTTGTTTCCACTGCAGCTTGTTCTCCTCTTTATCACACTATATGGTATTATGTAGAGTATTATAGTTATTCATGTGTTTCTTCCTTAGCCGTATCAGAGCTTCTTGAGGGTAGGAATGGGACTTACTCCACTTGGTATCCATAGTGCTTATTAGTAAGTGTTTAATAAAGTAATAAATGTCCCTAGCATTTGTCATCCTCACTATTCTGACTACTTTGACTTACAACCCTAAATGTTGCCATGCAAACTAGAAAATGAAGCAAATTAGTAACATTCTTTTAAGAATAATTATTTATTAATTTATTTACTATCTCGCATAATTCTATCCATAAGTTAACACTTTCTGGGTAAGGATCTAAGGGTCTACCAGACTGTTAACTTCTTGTAAGTAGGAGTCCAGTTTTATTCATTATTTTATTTCCAGTCTAGCTGGTATATAGTATTCAAATATTTGTATGAATGAGTATAGCATTATAACTTTCATTACTAATGATAATACTTCTACCTTACATTTCCATAGTTTACAAAGCAATTTTGCATTTATTCTCTATTAAAAAAATTATTTTTGCCTTATACTCTAATGGGACTGGAGGTAGTTCATATAATACATGATTTTTTTAAAAATTTGAAGTGAAAGATGAAACCAGAAAGAAAAATAATACACTACAACACTTGCTTTGAGGTTCTGATAATTACTAATAGTGGGCTTTAAATTGGTCCTAGATTTCTCACTGACCAAAACAAAACAAAAATACTGGTTATAAGTATAACTTACAAATTCGAACTGTGAAATTCCCATAAGCTCAAGTCTGGCATATAGCAGGCAACTCGGATATTGAATAAATTAATGAATGAATGGGTAGCAGCTGAAGAGGAACTAAGCTTTCCCTGGTCATTAGGCATGAAAGAAATTTCTCTAATATATTTTTGTGAAAGGGACACTCTATGAAGATATTCTTATAAAAACATAAGCATTTGGTTTTATCCTTACTATTCCTTTTAGATATTATACTCCCTATTTTCAGAACAGACTTTAAGCTGAAGAGACTGTGTAAGATTCCATTACTGTTATACGGCTGAGCCAAGACCTGAAGCCAGATCTTGGGACCCCAAGTTCAGTGCTGTTTCAGTTACATGCCAGCTACTTCCTAGCTTCATTAGAAATGTGTGAATTTATGACAAGAGTTTTCTTTGCCATTATTAGGCTTTTTACCTAGAAGTCGTCTAGGTTCTAAGACCATGTTTGGACAAATGGGTTTACTGAATATCTTACCCATAAAAGCTTGTTCTAATAGTCTAATACTTGTTTCCAATCGCTTAATACTGCATATATTTTAGGTATATACTGTTTAAAAGAGCTAACCCAAACTCATTAATTATTTTAATATTTGATATATAATATATATACAATAATATAATTAGTTTCAATTTTTGGAAAAATTTTTGCATGACATGGTATTAAAAATAATTATGGTGTTGCCCTTATTTATCTCCGCACTCACTTGTCAGAAAGAGTATACCTGACATGTGATCAGGTAAGACATTAAGTCTTATGAATATACAATAACAATATATCTGTACTGTAAAGTTAAATCCAAAAACATATCAACTTTTTCTGTATCAATTTTTAAAATGACATTACTTTTAAAAGCAAAACTCTAAAGAATTTAAATATTCAACAATAGGGGATAGTGAAATAATTTATAATACATCAATAGGCATATTATATAGTAATAAATATCACAATATTTAAAAAGAAATATAAGAAAATATTCATGGTGTTATAAAGAATATAACTGCACATATAATGTTATCCTAATTGTTAAAAACACATTTATATGTATTAAAAATGTGAGAGAATATAGTAAGACAGTAATACCAGTTAACTTTATATCTGAGGGACTATAGATGTTTTTGTTCTTCATACCTTTCTAAATCTTCTATACTATTTTTACAATCAGAAAAGTTAAAAAATATTTTTTTTAAAGTTTGAATAAAATACAGTATTATATATAGTACAATTTTATAAATATTTACTGGGAGTTAAACAATTAACTGAATCTGTAAGTTAACAAAACTTAAAATTAATAAAATAAAGTAGTAACATATATTGATATAATTATAAATTACTATTTTCATTTTTACCCTTGGCTTCATATTTTGAGTAGATCTATTGCTAGTACACACTAGAAGGCAGAAAATGTACATTAAACCTTTATTAATTCAGAAGTAATAAAAGCTTAGGGACTATAGTAAAAGTATTTCTACATATATTGAAGGTATTAATATCTAATAAAACTACCAAAAATGTTTAAAGTAGTTGAAATGCTTTTAAATACTCTAATATTCTAGAAATACCTATATATATCTAATAAGATAATTACAAATATTCTTATCAGTGCAATAAGATAGGTTTTCCTAAGCATCTATATTCTATAACTTATTGCAAATTTCTAATATTACATATGTTACAGTATAAGGTTCTAGATATTTCACAAAACAGATAATACTGAGAATTAGCCTTTTAGTAAACCCTTACTTATTGAAAAAAATTACCATTAAAGAAACATGCATAAATGTCTTTATTAAGCAGTTTGCCCAAATTTAGGTACCTAAATAAATAAAAAACATTAGTTTTCAAATATTACTTTCTACTCTTTCAGACCATTTCCCCAAATTAGCTCAATTCTAGTAATAATTTACTGTATTTCAGTATCACAATCAAACCTAGATTAAAATTTGAATTAAAAAAAAAGTAAAAATTCTTAAGTAAAAACACTTTCCGAATAAAACCTTGGTATGTAAGTGTATATATGTATAAAAATAGTTTAAAAAAAAATACCCAATTTAAACATCTGTTGAGTAGCTCTCAGGGAATTAATCTATAAACTCTTCCCAAGTTATTCATTCAACAAATAAATTGATACCTTTTTTTAAAAAAAATATATCTTTATTGATTTCAGAGAGGAAGGGATGGGGGAGAGAGAGCTAGAAACATCAATGATGAGAGTCATTGATCGGTTGCCTCCTGCACGCCCCCCCATTGGGGATCAAGCCCGCAACCTGGGAATGTGCCCTGATCAGGAATTGAACCACGATCCCTTGGATCATAGGTCAATGCTCAACCACGGAGCCACGCCGGCTGGGCTAAACTGATATTGTTTCATACACATTAATTTCTTACTAGTTCAAAAGGCTACTAGTTCAAACTACTACGATACATTCAATCTGAATTTCTGGCACAGCCACTCAGTTTCTGGAACTGCAGAGTGCTCCAATAAGTAGATATTTCTCATCTGGAAATAAGCTAGGGGGTTATTATGCACTATTCTGGCACCCAAGATACATCGTAAGTAGATATCTTTCACCTGGAAATAACCAAGAGTAAGTATTATGACACTTTCTTGGCATACCAGAAATATAACTGTACCTAAATATGTTGGTAACTTCTGTCTTAATGCACTATAGCCCAATGTATACATATAGCTTGAAAAGGAGAAATAGCACCCTGTTCGCTTCTTTAAATGTGAAATAAAGCAGCAGCTGCACATACTCACACACATCAATGGCTCTTCAGTCATCCTCCCCAAATATTTCTTTTTTTGTTGATCATTTCCAGCAATAATAACAGGCATTTGCTATCAAAAAAAGTGACATTAAAAAATAGCAAGATATTTTTATTAGATATGTAAAAACAAACATACTACAGTTTAAAAATAGAGAACTATTTCCCCTGAATGGGTAAGTCTAAAGAACTGGCCTTTATTCTGCCCCTAAATTGGAAAGCTAAAGTAAGAAAATAAATCTGTTAATCCAAGTATTTTCACAAAATTAAATTATATAGGACTTGGTATATAATATGTAAAGAATTAAATTTAGGATAAATAATGTGGTATATATGATCAGGCCTCCTAAGAATTGTTCACTAAATTTTAGCATTGCCAGCAGTGGCAGCAAGCCATCAAGATCCTTCTCCTGAACGCTGGATTTTAGCCTTGCTCTTACCTAAGAATTGTGACTGAAGCAGCAGCCAAAGTGTACAGTTTCCCCACAGGGATAGCTAGGACTCCAAGCACTGGAGACAAGGTCAGAATAATAAGCTTTTGGAATAAAAAATATAGGCTTCACTGCAGAATTTTGTGTTCCATATAAAAGAAAATAGTGTTCTACCAACTAACCTAACCTAGTAGCACTTTCTCATTAACAATAGCTGAGTTACACAATTTTCTAAGTAACTTACCCCCAAAGAATTTGCTTCAATAGCAGTCTGAATTCCTGTACACCCATAAGCCAATTCTTCAGTAATTAAACAGGCATCAAAAGTTCCAAGTCCAAGGCCTCCTACGGTATCAAAATATTTTAAAAGTCCATTATATGTAGTACAACTCAGTTGAAATAAAGGTGAGTTATTTTAATTACTTCAAATATGACCTAATCAGAAATAATTAAAATAGTTCATCTAATAGTTTTAAAAGCAAATTTGCAAATACAGTATCTGTAACCCAAGAAATTATACTTCTCTAAAGTTTTAAAATTAAAAAAAAATTATCTTGCTATTTGTAATATGGACCTATCTTCCTGCTTCAACTTTTGTAAAAACTTTATTCCACTCTGCTAAAACTTTGCCCCTTTAACCTGAGGAATGAAAACCTCACAGGAAAAACGAGAAACGTCTTAAAAAAACGTAAACTCAAAGGTAGAATTAAAATGCAAAAAACTGAACTTTAGAGAGAGAAGTTACCAAGGTTTAGGATCAAGTTAAGTTTGGAACCTGTTGTAAAGAAGGAAAAATGCCTCTAGGTGTTGAATACATGGCTTCTAGAAGCAGGCAAATACTGAAGTCTGAACAGGGAGACAAGGGTAGAAAGCCAATATTTAATGGTAATAAATATTTGAAAGAATGACTGAGTCGAGTTTCACAATTTTTTCTTGTTCATATGCATTCTAGGATTAAAGATGTGAAGAAAGCTTACCACAACTTTCTGGAATGTGTGTATTCATTAAACCAAGTTCCCAGGCTCTTTTAATTATGGGGACAGGATACTAAAAGAAAAAGAAAAAAAGATGAAAAAAAGCCAGTTATTTACATTTAAAAATCTAGTTAATTTGGTTATGTAGTCTTGTAAAAAATATAAAAGATTTTTCTCTCCTTAAAGTGTATAGAGGCTTCTGGTCAAGATGGCAGAGTAGGTAAATGTGGTACTCGCATCCTCCCACAACCACATCAAAATTACAACTAAACTACAGAGCAACCATAATTCACAATCACCTGCAATTCAGCAGAACGGAAGTCCTATAACTAGGGATTTAAAGATGAAGCCACATCAAAACTGGTAGGAGAGGCCGAGACCCAGAATGGGTTGGTCCCACACCTATGTATGGCAGATAAAATCTAGAAGGGATATCTTGGCCACGGAAGTGCTCCATGAGGAGTGAGGGGGTCCCAGCCCCAGCCCACAGTTCCAGCGCCAGGAAGAAAAGTCCCCATAACTTCTGGCCTTAAAAACCAGTGGAGATTGAGGCTGAGAGACACAGAGGGCTATTGGAGTCCCAGGCAGTACTTCTGAAAGGGCCTACACATGGACTTACTTGCTCTGAGCTGCAGCACTGGGGCAGTAGCTCAAAAGGCACCAAGGACACATGGGGAAGAACTGAAGTGCCTGGCATCAGTGCAAGAGCTGGACAGGTAGCCTTCTAACAGACAGAAGTGCTGGCAGAGGCCATCGTTCCTTTTATGAGCCCTCCCCGCACAGAGCTGGCAGGTGGGTGACATATAGGAGTATTCACTAACCTGGCTATCACTGTTTGCCCCACCCTAGTGATACTCTGAGACCCCACTGCACCCAACTTTCTGGCCCACCCAAGGTGTTTCCAGTGGCTTTTCCATATGAATGGCCTGTCTCAGCTCATGCTTCAAACTTCCTTAAAAATCTCTCCAACAAACTGCATCTGGCCTCAGTGAGCCCTGTACCCTCTCTCTAAGTGGTCCAAGGACTGGCACTAGTGGCAGCTGGCCTTGGTTCAGACTTGGTTCATAGCTGGCCTAACCTGGGCACCTCTAAGCCCAGCACAAGTAGCAGCCATCTGCAAATCACTCTGTAGCTCATGCTGGGTGGCCCTGGGCAGAACACAGGGGGCAGCTAGCCATGGCCTGTACCTCCAGCAAGGCCCCAGAGCTAGCACACCTGGTGGACACCTTCAGACCACACCAAAGCACCAACCAACCACTTCCATAAGTGACACACTCAAGCGGTGGACTCATGAGCACCAGTGCCCTGCTGAAGTCAGTCCTGCTCTTTGGGGTGGATCCCTACACAGCTGATCCTCCATGATAGTAGTAGCCAGTCCTTGCAGCCAATTGACCTGGGGGTAAATCCCTCCCACTAACATGCCAACCGCAATCAAGGCTCACCTACAACAGGAGGTGTACACAGCCCACATGGGGGTTGGGGGATCACTTGGAGTGCCCAGCTCAGGTGAACAGGGGAACTATGACACTGGACCCTACAGGACGCCTACTATGTTAGGCCACTCTACCAAGCTCAGGAGACGCAGAAGCTCTACATAGGAACAAACACAGAGATACCTACCTCGCCAGTTTTATCATATTCTGCAGCAACCGGGATTATTTCCTCCCTAGCAAATTTACGAGCAGTAGCTTGAAATTCTTTCTGCTGTTCAGTGAACTCTAAAGGGAAAGTTATTTAGAAAACATTAAAATAGGACAATGACTTGAGGGAAAAAGCCCTATGGAATCAGTATGTGGAAATTTATGCTTATAATGAAGATTTTTAACCCCTGATTAACCCGACAGTCAAAGGCTAAAAATGAACTTTCTAACTAATCAAGATTTCATTGTATATTATAAAGAAATATATGCCAATGAAAGTAGGTAAGATTTCTAGCTTTTACAAATAATAGATATAAACTTGGGCTTTTATCTACTTGGTCTAAAAATTTTTAACTTTTAACTACTTTCTAAGCAGATTTATCAAATGTTTAGTACCACAGAAATGAAACATGCCCTAGGGAGATGGGATGTGCTCAGTGACCACAAACCAGTAAAATTTGTTCCAAAATATACATAGGAATATCAATACCTTAACCTCAATTTTTCTCCTCCTTTAAACTCAGAATTTTAAGTTCATAAATCAGCAAAAAGCAAGTGATAGAAGTGGTGGGAAGGTGTCTTAAAAAGTAATAACATAAAACAGCTGTAATGCTATAAGTAGTTTCCAAACAATGCAATTACATAAATATGGGGTTGTTATTATAAAATTAATGAAATGAATATGGTGGCTGGACTGAGGACAGAAGCCACTCACTATTGCATTTTTTCAAATCCACACTATCACAGGGTTTTTAATGTGATTGCATCCAACCTCAAAGGATAGGTAAAATTTAAAAGAGATATAGGGTATTTGGGGCAAGAGAATGAAAGCAAAAGCACAGAGGTAGGAATAAACAGAATGTTTAAGATTATAATAATCATTTTTATAGGGATATGAAATGTAAAATGTAACAGACACTAGAATTCTGGTGCTAAATCAAATAGCCTAAGTTCAAATTTCATTTTAGAGACAAGGAAACAAAAGCCCCAATTGGGGAAATAATAGCCCCGTAGACTTACAACAAATTAGCAGTAAAAATAGACTTAAGAGTTTCAGCTCAGTGTTCTCTACCTTATAACTTTACTTCTAAAACTGGAGTCAGTTCATATCAAGGTTATGGGTGGGTAAAGGGTAGAGAAGGCAGGGATCTATTATTGAGAACCTACACTGATCCAGCCACTAAGTGCTAGGAACTTTACATATAAAATTTAATCTTCAAATAAACACCGCACTGTAGATATTATCCCCCTTTTATACATCAAGAACCAAATGCAACTGGTCATAGGTGTTATCCCTACTCCTTTTCTTGAGCTTCACACTCTCCTTCCTAAATATTTGTATCTATCTCATCCTCTGTCACTCAGCAAACCACTACAGATTTCTCCTGCTAGACTCTTAACAATCTGTAAGTGACAAACTAGATAGCAATCATACCAAATCTATGCTAACATCTGAACAAGGAATTAAGAAGATCCAGTACTCCAAACTGCTATCCTCACATCACTGGAAATTTTTCATTTAATTCTATTTTTAAGAACTTCATAAAGAAGCTAACAATCTTAAAAAATAACAAAAATAAAATAACCCTAAAGAGCTCTGAGTTTGTTATTTGTACCTGGGTGTGAGTTAATTATCTTAGCTGCCTTTTAAAAAATATAATATTTCTAATTACTTTTTAAAAATGGATTTTAGAGAGAGGAAGGGAGAGAGAGAAATATCGATCAGTTGTCTCTCACACATGCCAAGACCGGGGTATTAAACTCACAACCTGGGTATGTGCCTTGATTGGGAATTGAACCACCACCTTTCAGTGTTTGAGAAGACACTCCAACTGAGTCATACCGGTCAGGGCCCAGGATCTTCATTTTAGAGAGCAGAAGGGAGGGTAAATCATATTCCTTTTTGCTCCAACACCACACGGATCCCTGATCCCAGAACTGAGAACCACATCTACTAACACCAAGACTACAATCCAGATATATTAAGGCTAAAACAGACTTTGACTTATTAGCAGACACTTAGCATTGTTTGTCTAATAAATGTTTAAGAAGTATTTATTGCATTCAGATTCCTAATTTGAAGTCTGCTCTTATGTATCAGTAACTCTGATATACATAAAAAAATTATTTATTTTGTGCTACATACTTAGAAAGAAAAGCAGGAATATATGTATGCTGCTACCACAGATCTATGGGTACGGCAATTATGCTAAAGAAAAAGATGAGATCAGGAAAAATGAGTGTGACTAACTGGACAATCTGTGGATGGTGATTGATTCTATTCATTGACAGACATTACTAAGATTTTTTAATAAACATATTCCAGACAAATATATAGAGAGAGCTGCATATACATAATAATTTAAGCTTAAAGTCAAAAGACAGAACAAAATATATACCAAAGCTAAATCCCAATCCTTGTTTATGTTTCAGGGCAGCTTTTGTATGTTGTGATCTCCAGTCAAAGTGAGAAAGACTTCTCAGGACCTGTGGAGAACATTTTTATTAAAATAAATTTGATAATTTAAACAATCAAATAAGACAACACTGACAATTACAAATGAGTACAGCAACTTGTTTAACTAAGAGTTTAATTTTATTTTTGTTTAAAATATTACAGATGTCTCTTTTTCTCCCCAATGACCCATTCCACCCCGTCCCATCCCCCACCCCAGTCCCTCTCCCCACCATTGTCCGTGTCCTTGGGTTGTGCATATATGCATATAAATTCTTGAGTACTCTCTCCTCCTCCACCCACCCGCCCTCCTCCATCCCTCTGACATTCGTCAGTCTCATCTATGCCTCCATGTCATTGAATCTATCCCGTTCATCAGTTTATTAAGTTCTTTAGATTCCACATATAAGCGAGATCATGTGATGTTTATCTTTCTCTGCCTGGCTTATTTCACTTAGCATAATTTTCTCCAGGTCCATCCATACTATCCCAAATGGTATGAGATACTTCTTCTTTACAGCTGCGTAGTATTCCATGGTGTAAATGTCCCACAGCTTTTTTATCCACTCATCTACTGATGGGCACTTGGGCTGTTTCCAGATCTTAGCTATTGTAAACTGTGGTGCTATGAGCATCGGGGTACATATATTCTTTCTGATTAGTGTTTCAGGATTCTTAGGATACATTCCCAGGAGTGGAATCACTGGGTCAAAAGGCAGCTCCACTTCTAATTTTTTGAGGAACCTCCATACTGTTTTCCATAGTGGCNATTCTTAGGATACATTCCCAGGAGTGGAATCACTGGGTCAAAAGGCAGCTCCACTTCTAATTTTTTGAGGAAACTCCATACTGTTTTCCATAGTGGTTGCACCAGTCTGCATTCCCACCAGCAGTTTACCAGGGTTCCCCTTTCTCCACACCCTCGCCAGCACTTGTCGTTTGTTGATTTGTTGATGGCAGGCATTCTGACAGGTGTAAAGTGATACCTCATTGTGGTTTTAATTTGCATCTCTCTGATGATTATCAACGTTGAGCATTTTCTCAAGTGTCTCTTGGCCATCTGTATGTCCTCTTTGGAGAAGTGTCTATTCAAGTCCTTTGTCCATTTCTTAATTGGGTTGTTTGTCTTCCTCTTGAAGAGCAGAGTTTTTTAAGTCATTACTTAAATACCTTCAACTATAATTGAATTTCTATATTAAATAAGCCAATTACCAGATATTTGAACACCTATCAAAAAGGAAATTGTTTTAAACAATGAAAATAAAACTAATCAGTAGTATTTACATTACTAAAGTGGAGTGTTTACAAGGCAAATAACGGTCAGGAGTAGTAGCTGACTTAGAACTACTATTCTGGAAATCTCACCTACAAGCTCTAGAACACTTGTGATCAAGTAGAGGCAATGGCAACAATAGGATAGTATTGTGCTGTGTGCAAGAGTTGCCCTGTCCATCAACTTTGATCCCCTGTCCCTGTGAGCCTCCCAGGTATGCCTCTGGGAATCCTCCACTTGTAAGATCTAAGATACCTTACTCAATTTCACTAACCAAAATAGCGTAAAACCATGTTCTTTATTTTCTGCTGTTGTCTATAAGCATTCTTAGAATGTTCTAAGCCAGAGGTCAGTACACTATGGTAGCCACCAATTTTGTAAATTACATTTTATTGGAATATAGCCACACCATATTTTCAATTGCTGCTTCCACACCAAAGTTGTACAGTTGCCACAGGGACCATATATGGTCCACAGAGCCAATATGTACTATCTGTCCCTTTACTTTAAGCTTGCCAGTTCTGTTCTAAACTATTAATATACTACTTGTCTTAATATCTGAAATATGTATACGCTTATTTTTTCAAAGGGATATATTAAAAATATAATCACATATATACTTATTGTTCCATTTTAATACTCATGACAGTTTGTACACAAAAGTAATCACTTGTATTTGTTAAAGTTAGCAAATTGAAAACCCCATAACACCTGAGTAAATGTTTGCAGATGGCCAAAATTACACAATCTATATTTCAAAGAATTTTGATGGAACTATCCCTAGGTAATTTCAGTTAGTTAGACAATGAAGAAAAGAGAAACTGAAAAATATACTAAAAGATCAAGAACTGAACTTACGTTTTTCAAATTCTGTAAAAAGAACCTGACCACTTTGTAGATGACAATTTTAACTTATGAAGAGAATCACCCACATTTAAAGTGACAATACAGATTGTAAAATATCTTAATTTAAACAGCCCTTTTAAAAAACAATATACTTTATACTACAATTTTGAAAAAGTAATTACAGAGTATGAAAATTCACATTTCCTTGCAATTTTCATTCATTTTATTTTGGAAGTAAAACATGGTTTCTCTGATCCTCATTATCCAGATGTCACAGACCAAACCTATTCTTGTTTACAATCACATTCCACATATTAATTCTGATTCTCTAGGTCAAGCCTAGGATTAAGGCACTATATTTACTCCTATTTTGCACATGAAGAAACTGAGGCTCAGAAAGGTCAAGTAAAATTGGCCAAAGTCACGCTTGCTATTAGTTGGTGGAAGCAAGATTCTAACTCTAACATTTACTATCAACCAAACTAAAAGCTTATGCCATCAACCACCTCACTATACCACTCTTTCAGTTTCAAGTCTCTTAACTGGTTATTAGGTCCTATAAAGAAAAACATCCCACAAAAATCAGACCAAAAAACTTTTCTAAACGTGTGTCCAGACACCACTATACAAAAACTAGACCTCACAAAAAAATGTAAAGTGGTCTTCTGAGAGACTTGATTTAATCCGAACTCAACGATATTTTTTCCATTACTTTTCAGAGAGTGGAAAGGAGAGAGAGAGAAACATCACTGTGAGAGAAAGACATCAATTGGTTGCCTCCCGCCTGCAACCAAGGTAAGCTAGAATTAAACCCAGGACCCTTCAGTCCGAGGACTGATGCTCTAAGCACTGAGCTAAACCAGCTAGGACCTTCTGAGAGACTTTAAATAGGGTATATTAGATTTTAAATAACTTACAAAAAGTTAATGTGATTTTTTTGAAAAACATTTTATATAAAACAAAGTACAAAGGTAGATGCAGCCAGGGAACAATGCCCATCTACCTGTTAATTATATAATAATGTTCATCATTTAGAGGTGGCTTAGTAGACATTAGATACAGAAATATTATGTTATTTGGACTTAGAATTGCTAACTCAAGTTGAGTTTGAGTTGACATTCCACAATATTTTTGAGACCTTGGATTGGTTCCAAACTTCTTGTAATTTCTTTTCAAACCTAGAAAATGGGGTTTGAAAAGGAATTATAATTTGTTGAGATGATTAAAATCGGATGATGTCTTGGGAGCATACATTGGGTTCTCTGCCCAGAGCAATAGAATTGCAAATCTCCAAAGAGAGCAACTTTAATCAAGCATCAACTCTGCAATAACAGCACAACTATAATCAAACACTTCTGCATATTTCTTAGGAATATGAGTCTTAGCTTTACGGGAATGTCAATGAAAAGATACAGGGCAGAAGTTTTCTGGATTGGGTTCTTCTATATCCTTCTTTGGAGAGATTGAGAAATCTTTTTTTTCTGGTGTCACAGTTAAAAGTCATTTTTAAAATCCCCCAATTTCTGCCTTCAGAGCCGATTAATTTATACAGCAATGACAAATATGGGGCAACAATCCATTAGAATTATTCTAAGTTCTAACACTGCTACTTTTTTGGTCAAGAACATAACTTTCTTAACTCAATTATAAATGACATTTTATAACTGAGTTGTGAATATACCAATAATATTTAAGATAGCAAAATGCATCTAGTGACTGAGACAATTTAGAATCTGTGCAACACAACACTAGAATATATAGACAAACTTCAAGGAGAATTCTGCAGTAGGTTTTTCCTTTTCCTTTTTTTTTTTTTTAAAGGTACGTAACATGGAAACATCTTCCTCTATATCGCAAAACCCAAAGCTTATTAAACATATTAAGTATCCACTTTCCTTTTCCCCGTGACTTCGCAGGCCCCCAAGATCACACTATCTGAACTGTGCATTTTCTAGTATACATCAATTGCAGTATGACATTTACTTTAAGATTTCCTTTTTGGGCTGGGGACAGAGAGCTGCTCGAGGAGTTGTTATGCCAGTTCCGCAAAAACAGGCGCGCCCAATCCAGACAGGTTCGTTTTGGGAAAGGGTGGGGTTCCTGGGGAAATACGTGCAGGGTCCCAGGCCAAAGAAATAAAAAGGATATTCTAAAAAGTGGACGCCACAGTAGAGGGGCAGTTGCCGAGAGGACACGGGAAGTCAAAACCCACCGTGGGAGGAGGGGTGGGGCCTGAAAGCAAGGCCAGGGTCCGGATCCCCGCCCGCAGTCACAGCAGGGGTGCCAGGGCGAAGGCGTCCCGAGGCGGGCTCCTGCCTCCCCACCGCTTCCTGCCCCCCAGGCCCCCTCTCAACGCCTATCTCCGGCGCATGCCCGCACCCCAAACACCCCTACTCCCCAGCCCTGCTCTCCCTCTCACCCCGCGGCCCCGCCTCAACAACGCAGCTGCCATGTTCATCCGCAGCCCGATGACTCGGTCCTCCTCCCAGCGCGCAGAGCGAGACTATATTAGGCTCTGCGGGCGTCGGGCTGGCGGAACCCGGATGGCCCCGCCCTCCGAGATAATCCGAGGCGGAACCAGGGGGGGGGCGGAGCAGCCAAAGAAAGTAGGTGGAGGGAAAAGGCCCGGAGGGGACGCGTGCGCCGCTTGGCCCGCAGCCTCTCGCTCCGGGACCTGGCCTGCGCTGACCCGGCGACCTTGGGACGGGCTGTAATGCGCCTCTGGGGCCTGACAGTTCCGAAGGGTGGTCCCTGAAAACGCTTCGCTTCCATCTGATCCTCTGAGATCAGACCACGTGCCCTCCCGGCGGGCTGACGGCGGCGTGGAGAGGGGGCCCGGGAGGCTGCTTGGCAGCGGGACGCCGGGGCTGGGAGGGCGCGCCCGCGCCGTGGGAGGGA